CTCCAGGTTCATAGGGTTTCCAGAGGCAAGCTATTACGGAAGTGGATCCCACTCCTGCTTCCAAGCTTGTTTTAATTAGGGAGCTCCACCAAACACTGTCCACCATGGGTGACCACTATCGCAGTTGACACATCAGTGTTAAAGTGTTTGGTTTCACAGCAACCACGAGTTACCTCTGTACAGCAAATGGACAGACCAGGGCTATACAACCTAGAAGAATGTTTGACCAAAACACAAAAACAGGCCGGAGGGCCACGGATCAAAGTCACCCACCTTTGGCTTGGTAGCATCACTTTCTGTCCACTAGGTCAACTGATCTTCTTCTATGCTCCGTTTAGTATAGATGTTCAATACCAGTCAGATTATTGCATTGATAGACACATCTAGAGATAATTAAGTCCTAAGATGGCCCATGGTGGGCAGGGAGGGATAAAGGGATAGAATCGAGGAACTGAAAGACAGTGAAATACTCTGCATGATGCTGCCATCGTGCAAAGATGACAGTACGCCTTTGTGAAACCCTACTGACAGAGTGAATCTGAGAGTGAACTAGACCTTAGTTAATAGTAATGTAACAATATTTGCTTATCAATTGTTAACTACTAGAAGGGAGCTCTGGTGGCCTAATGATAAGAAGCTATGCTGCAATCTCAAAGGCACATGGTTCGAATCCATCAGCTGCTCCATGGGAGAAGAATGGGCTCTCTCCTCTCACGCGATTAATTGCTCCTGAAAACCCACTGGACGGTCAGCTGTACGTCAGTTTCCACGTGACAGTTCACAACAATATCACACAACAGCAAGTCTTAACAATAGGAGAGACGGGGTACAGGAGAAGCAGGGGTTTAGAAGAGCTCTCACTTCTTTCTGAGTAATTTTTCCTATAAAACGAAAATGATTCTAAAAATAAATAAAAGACATTAAAGAAGAAAAGCAGTTGAGAAATAAATAAGACTATGGGTGTTCATTTAAAAATATCCAACTCTGAAAGTCCTCCAAGTTAAAAGCATTTAAAAGGTATCCTTAGATAAATATTTAACTCTAATCACTAGTAAAGTGCCCCTACATCCAACAACCAGACAGAAGGCATTTATAAACCGTGACATGCATTCGCGGCTACCCTTCTGCAATGCTGGACGTTATGCGGCTGATGTTTCAAATGCCAGCAGGTCACTCCCGGCGGGGGGTAGGGGGGGGAGGTTTCAGTGGCTCCTCCGGACAAAGCAAAACTCAAACCCACTTCAATTCCAACTCGTGAGTTTCTGAGACTGTAAATCGGAACAGGAGCCAACTACCTCATCTGTCGCCAATGGAGTAGCTGGTAGATTTGAACCAGCAACCATTGAGTTAGCAGCCCAAAGCATAGCTAACACACTAGACCACCAAAACTAAGACAGACTGAGTGGGGGAAAATCTGGAAATCTACCTCTGAAATTGTTGTTGTTGTTGTTATGTGCCATCGAGTTGCCTGCCACTCACAGCAACCCTATGAACAAGAGCCCTAAACCCTGCTCTATCCTGTGCCAAGCTCACTGTCTCTGACATACCCACCCCCATTACCCCAGTCACTGAATCAATCCACCTCATCGAGGGCCTTCCCCTCCTGCGCTGTCCTTCCACCCTCCCAAGCATGATGTCTCTCTCCAAGGACTGGTCCCTCCTTGCAACATGTCCAAAGTATGTCAGGTGAAGCTTCAGAATCCTTGCCTCCAAAGAGCAGCCCGGTTTCACCCTCTCCAGGATGAACCTGTTCGTTTTCTTAGCAGTCCATGGTATATTCAATACTCTTCTCCAGCACCACAGCTCAAAGGCATCAATTCTCCTTCTATCCTCCAGCTCTCTGATGCATAGCAAATGATTGCAAAGAAAATGGCCAGTGTCAGGCGCACTTAGCCAATGAAAATGCTCTGACTCACAGCAGAACTTAGTCCAATATGGTGCTGGGAGATGAGCCTCTAATGTTGGAAAACAGCACATGACAGTGAGAGTTCAACCATGCATGTCGTCAGACAGATGGGTCAGGACCTGTCGACACTTCACTCCGTTAAGCACAATGTTGTCCAGTGTGCCAAGTGCACGGGAGCAAGACAAACAGCAACTCCTGTGAACGTGTTTCCTGGTCAGTGCCTCCTGCATCACTTATGCCTCCAGGGAAAAGAGCGCAGGTACCAAAATACATTCTTCTCTGGTTTCCTCTTCGGTCCCTTGTGGAGACAATGCCATTCCGTGAAGTAAGCCAAAGCAAAACTCAGCCGATTTTTTTTTAATTGTTTCTGAAGAATCATTTGTCTTAAAATAAATGTAGATTAAAAAAGAACTGATTCTTAAAAGTAAACCTGATCCCTGGTCTTCAATTTTAGTTGTCTTTGCTCTAGGTTAAGATAAGCAAAGATATTATCCAACTGCAATTTTGTGCTCACCCATAACGCTCTTGTGTTTCTAGTTGAAATGGAAAGTGATGGCATGTCCATCCCAGCTTTCCTTCCTAGTCCAATAACCAGCTGACACAGACCTGGGGGTCTCCAGGTAAGTGACCAGACAGGAAGTTACTATCTGAGCAGTGGGGGGAAGGGGGGGAGGTCCGTGTTCCCATCCCAACAGATCATCTCAAACAGGGCATTCTTTGTAATTTTCCATTTTTCTTGAGCAATTCTACTTTTCTTTCCCAAAGGCTTGCCTTTCAGAAAGTATCTAAGCAGTGAAAACAGTTGCCATACTAGTAAGTCATGGTAAGGCATCCCCCAGAACAGAAACTGACCCTTCTGAACACATTTATAAGCACTGCTGAAAAGCTAAGTGGAAAAATGCTGCAGAGAAAACAGCACAAATACACAACCAGAGTACTGTCAAGCTGCGTCCATTACTCTACAGTCTGGAAATTTAGTTGAAGAAATTCACAGGAAGGAGAAAAGCCATGAAAATGCCTCTTTGCAATATCGCCTGTGACTGCAGAGATTTCTATGGTAATAGGTGCAAAACCGAGGAAATTAGGGTCTATTAAAAATGATCGTTACGCAGTTTAAGCAGCAGCATGAAAAATGCTACAGCTAGATTTTAAGTTAAAAATAAAACACAATGGTATAAGTAATGTGATTATAAATGCAAAAAAAACCCCACTCTACTTGCATAAGGGTAATGGAATGACAGATCATGTTTTTAAAAGGTTCTCAGATGTCATCACAATAAATAAATTCTGAGGCAAACAAATGATGAGTCATTGGCGCACAAATGTCACCAAGTAATAAGTCTTCTCAGCAGTGACAATGTCAGGTAATTAAGTGCAAACCCCAAGGCTACATTCACTTCTTTTATCCCTTTACCCCCGTTTTTTTATTAATTCTGATTTTTCCAGAGTTTAAATTACTCAGTAAATGATAGAGTTTCCCTTGGCTGCAATAGGTAAATGGTAAACCTTGAAAGAGTCCAAGATCTGGAATTGGAGAAAATTGTCTAGAAGGGAGGCAGGGTCTCAAAGTGCCTTCGCTGCCCAGCGCAGTGACCACGAGTTCCATAACTCTGGCTTCTCAGTGTGGAAGATGCTGAAGGGACTTCCCAGTTTCTGGTTTACATGAATAAAATGCCCAGGATCCTGCTGACCCACTTTTAGCTCCACATAGCCCCTAGTGTCTGCATGCTTTCTGTCCACCTGGCCGGAGCCATATGAAGATCCCATGGAGGTAGCCCTGGGCTGGCCGAGGCATTTTCAGCAGATGACTGCCCCTCTCAGGAACGCTATGAATTATTACAACTTATGAATAATAATAATAATAATAATACAGCTCTGGGTCGTTCTCTAGCTGCAGATGGCATCACCCTTCTTCAGTTCCCTTTTCTATTATTGTTGTTATGTGCCGTCAAGTTGGAACTCCAGCGGGTTTTCAGAAGCATTTAATTTCACAGCAGGACATTGCCCATTTCTCTCCTGCAAAGAACTTGATGGATTTGAACCATATATCTTTGGGTTGCCAGGGCAACTCCTTACGACTAGAGGTCAGCAGAGCTCACTAGACTCTTTCTTCGTGGGTTCTTTATTTGAGTAGTTGGTTAGAGTTTCCATCCTTCCTCGGAATCTGGAAGAGTCCTGTTCTAGACCCCAGGACATGGCTGGAACCCGCTCACTTGCCCAAATCCTTGTCTATTACTTGCCACTTGTGCAGACTTCATCCTCTCGGGGTCTATCAGTTAACCAGTCAGCACACCCACTATTTCACCAAGAAATAAGGATCCAGGATGGCAGCTACCTGTCCACCCTGCATTGCTCTCACTGCCCACTGGTCTACTTTGTTTAACCTCTCTAGCGGATACTCTTCTCTATTCCTGTACAACCTGAGGGCTCTATCCTAGGGAAGGCACCTGCCAAGTGAACTGGCAACTTCAAGTCCAGCGATGGGAAAGTCTGCTGTTAGGGACCTCTCTAAGGTACTCAGGAGCAACAGTGTCTTTCTGGAGACTAAGGTGCGCCTGATACAGGCCATGGTCTTTGCAATCGCTTGTTATGCATCAGAGAGTTGGACAATGACTAGGGAGGACAGAAGGAGATGGATGCTTTTGAGCTGTGGTGCTGGAGAAGAGTACTGAATGTACCATGGACTGCCAGGAAAACAAACAGATTCATCTTGGAGAGGATTAAACCAAGCTACTCCTTGGAGGCAAGGATTCTGGGGCTTCGTCTGACATACTTTGGACATGTTGCCAGGAGGGACGGGTCCTTGGAGAGGGACAACATGCTTGGGAGGGTGGAGGGACAGTGCAGGAGGGGAAAACCCTCTATGAGATGTACTGATTTGGTGACTGGGGTAATCAGGATGGGTGTGTCAGAGGCGGTGCAGTTGGCACAGGATAGAGCAGGGTTTAGAGCTGTTGTGCATAGGGTCGCTATGAGTCGCAAACGACTCGACGGCACATAACAACAACAACATTCCCTATTACCAGTTACCTCTCTACAACATTTTTGCCTCTATTTACAGGGTCTAGACTAGTGCATGCCCGCCCACACTTACAGCCAGAGTGAATTTCTTCCCTGCGTGATGACACCAGTGAACTTGGTCAGCCTCCTGGCGTCCACTTCAATCCACTGGTGGAGGTCATTGCGTCCTGCACACCACGCCCCATCGTAGAAGTCATTTTCGTTAATACCTGCCTGGAAAGAAGATAAGGATGTTGTTTAGAAAGGCCCCAAAAAGGAAAAAAAATGAAGACAAATCATTCCATGAGCCACAGTGGAGGGAAAGCAGGTGAAAAGAATAAGATGATTTAAAAAAAAAAAAATCTATGTGGCCAGAAGTCTTCATTCTAAATCAAAAAAGAGAATTGATTGGTATTAACAATTTGTGAATGTTTCCGTATGATGTGTCCTGTTCTTGCCCAGTGTGAAAGATGGAATTTAATGAGTTTTCTTATTACTCATTCACCCAACAGATATGTATTAAGTGTCTCCTACGTACCAGCCCACACACGCCAGGTGCTGAGCTCCGAGGTGAACTGCTCCCTCTCAGAGTCCCAGCATCCAGGCAGGAAGACAGACGTGGAAAGAGATGAAATGCAACACAATCAGGCACGTGCTATTTCGGGGACATGAGCAAACTGCTCGGGGGCATTTAAGGAAAGCATGACTAACTTGGCCTAACTGGAGAGACAATGGTCAGAAAACCCCAAGGCAGAGGTTACATGTCAGCTCTGCGTTGAAGGGTATGTTTATCTACTATATATTTAATAATTAGGTTTTATGTCACGTAATATGCTAGCTGTCAGTTATTGCTACTACTCAAAGCTTCTTTATGATACAATTTTTTTCTTTTTTTATTAATTTTAATGACAGTTTACAGAGACTTGGGATTTTCAGTCATTCATTGTTACACTTTTCTCTCTGCCCACCGACCCCCCCCAAATCACTCTTCTCCTTAAAAAGAAAAACTCTTTCACTGTTATGTAATCCTTCCCCTCAAGTTCACTCCACTATGCAGCCTTCATTCTGGACTTCTGTAATGACAAGAATACCCATTCATATGTCCCTTTCAAACACATCTCTCCCTCACCTGTTTCAACGCAATATACATCATTCCTTCCCTCCTTTTCTGTCTTCCCTCAACCCTGATGTCAGTCCCATTTAAAAATCTGAATTTAGGTGATGTTCTGGAATCTTCTCTTTTTTCATTCTCAATTGAAAGAGAACTCTGTGAGCTAAGAACAAAATCTGAAGATAGGTGAAGCTTCCTGGTTCACTAAGACCAACTCTGCATTAATCTTACTTTCTTGTGTCTATTTCACCAGATTTTAATCAAATAAGAAAAGGGCTGGTGAATATGCTAAAGGAAGAAAAACAGGACAAGTGCCCTTCTCAAACTCTGAGCACTTGCTGCTCAAGTTCCAAGAACAGTCTTACTTGTAATAGACAACAAGGATATGAGACAGAGTCTAGCCATCGATGATGACAACTTGGTCAAGAGTTCCATGTTATTAGATGCCATCAAGAGATCCCACACATCCCAGAATGCAACACGACCGCGTCCCTTACCCTCTTAACAGTCCTTGCTCCTCTGGAGCCCACTGTAGCAGTCACTGTGCCAACCCACCTCATTCAGGTTCTTTTTTCTGAGTCTCTATTTTACCAAGGACACTCTTTTCCAGGGATCTGTCCAGGGGTTCCATAATGGAGCCCTACTCACCAATGCACCAGCTGCCAGGCCCCCTTGGACATGGCCAAACCTCACTGTGCCCTCAACTCACTTCTGAATTAATCTTTTTTATTATTATTAAATTTTATTAATTTAAATGAACATTTACAGATATTTTGGGTTTCCATTCATTCATTGTTGCACTATTTTCTCTACCCTCCCCCCCAATTTGTTCCTCTTTTTTTCCTCCCCCTTGAAAGTCTGTTTTAATTGTCCCATTGCCACAGTGCTTGTCAAAGCCAGTTCTGATTAATCTCCTTTGTCAGTGTGTCCTTTGCCATTCCCCATCACTCCCCCTGAGAGAGACTTCACTCTGAATCATAAGGAAAAGGGGATGGCGTATTCACCTCTGCCTTGCATGCGGACTTCCGAGCTGTAAAACAACCCAGTGGTAAATGGAATTTGGTCCAGGACTTAAGAACAGTAAATTACATAGTTGAGTCTCTACACCTTGTGGTTCCTAACCTTTATACTATAATAGACAAAGTGCTAGTCAATAGGCCTTTTATTTTATGAACTACCTTCCCTCTGTAACTTGATTTGTGCCACTATTAGAACCTCTAATTGGAAGATTATTGCTTTTTAATTTTTGACTCATGTACTTTTAACTTGTTAAATTTGTGTCTTCTAGGCTGCAACACTTCCATGATACATCTTCAAGGATATGAACGTGTATGGCTAAGCACAATTGATAACAGTGCATCTAAATTCCAAAATCAATCTCCACAATAGTCTACGTGTTTCCTATTGCCAAAGGGGCCCTTTAGAGTAGTGAGAGAAGATCTTCACCCTGAAATCTTCAGCGTCCCTTTTCAGCAGGAAGTAGCTAAGTGAATTAATCTTGAAGGAACTTTGAGACCAAATGTCAGGATACTAATGCAGTCTTCTAAAAAGCACGCCCACCTCCATGAATGTGGAGAATGAATCTCTCTACTAGTAAGTCCTCTCGAAAACTCAAGTTCTTCATTGGCTAAAGAGTCTGTGTCTGGATGGCATTGGAGGTGTCTGTAATAAAGATCTAAGCTGCAAGGAACCTTTTAGAATCATAAAATAAACATTAACTTTTGTGAATGTGTATTTCTAACCCTTCATTATTCTGGTGTGTTTGTGTTAGTCTAATTCTTAAAAAGTGATAGTGACGGTCTATGAAATGTGGCATCACATTTCCCAAGTCTGCCAGACAATAAGGCAATCACTATTATAATCTTAAAACTGTAATTACAGGGGAGCTCTGGTGGCCTAGTGGCAAGAAGCTGCACTGCAATCCCAGAGATAAACAGTTCGAATCCACCAGATGCTCTGCCGGAGAAGGAGGAGCAATATCCTCCTGTACCAGTCAGATCTGATTTGACGGTACACACACACAAAATAATAATAAAGAAAAAAGTTAAAAAAAAAACACTGTAATTACACAGCCATTCCCTTTCTTCATTTAAAAACAGTTACCCTCTTAACGATGTTTGTTGTTGTGTGCTGTCCAGTGGGAACCAACTCATAGTTGACTCTCCAGTGGGTTTTCAGGAGGAGACCGTTCACTCCTCTCGTGTGGAGCAGCTGGTGGATTTGAACTGCTTGCCTTTGAGATTGTAGTGCCACTTCTTACCATTAGGCCACCAGGGCCCCTTTCCTAATGTTAGACCTGAAACCTATCAATGACCTATGGTATTCTTCTTCTGGAAACTGCAATACATTTTGTTTCAATCCCTCTCTTCTTATCCAAGAGCATGGTGTTTAATACAGTCAAATTCCCTGAGTGTGACTCTACAATGATAGAATCATCTAGTGCTCTTCAAGAAATGAGCTGGACGCATGCTCTCGAGTTGATTCTCACTCACAGAGATCCTCCATCCGGTTTCTGAAAGGGAGTTTTCATGGGAGGAGACTGCTCCTCTGTCTTCTTCAGAGCAGCTGGTGGACCCCAACCAGCAACTCTGCAGTTAGTAGACCGACGTGTTAGACACTAAGGCACCTTAAGAAATGTACTAGACAACAGGAACACACAGCTAGAACACACGCGTCCCTGTTGGCCTGACAGGCCGAGGTCTGCCCTTGGCATGTTTTTTTTTCTCTCTTCATATTTCTTTCTTTTTTTAATTTTTTAAAATAATTTTAATGAACATTTACAGAGATTTTGGATTTCCATTCATTCATTCATTGCTGCACTTCTCTCCCCGCCCAGCCCTCCCTCCAATCCCAGTTCCCTCCTCTCTTTGAAAAGTAAAATAAACACTCTTTCCCTGGTACACAATCCCCCCGCACCCCTGCTACTGCCCCAAGTACATTCCACTATGCAACCTTAATTGTGGACTCTTGTGATAACCATAATACCCTATCATATATATCGCTTTTAAATTATTCTCTCCCTCATCTGTTTCAGTGCAGTATACACAATTTATCCAGTTTTTCTCAGTCTTACCACAACCCTGATATCAGTCCCATTCTACAACAGTGGCACCATGCAGTGTTTGTCCTTTTGTGACTGAGATACTTCACTCAGCATAATGTCCTCCAGGCTCATCCATTTTGAATAATATTGCATGAGTTCCTTGTTTTTCAATGCAGCATAGTATTCCATTGTGTGAATATACCACAGCTTCTCTATCCATTTGTTTGTTGGTGGGCACTTGGGTTGTTTGCAACTCCTTGCTATTGTGAACAAAGCTGCGATAAACATGGGTGTGCATATATCTGCTTGGAGGTCAGTTATGGTCTCTTTGGGGTATATTACCAGTAGTGGAATTGCTGGGTCAAATGGCATCTCTATTTGCAACTTTTTGAGAAAGCACCATACTGCCTTCCACAGTGGTTGCATCACGTGGAGTTGCTTTGAGTCAATAATTGACCAGACAGTACCCAGCAACAACACATAATATTCTAGCTAATACTTTATAGAACACATAACATTCTAGTCCACTGTTGTCACGCGTTCTACAACTTCAAATTTTCTAAACAGAGTTCCAAACTGTGAAGAAACAGGAGACCCCTAGCCTAGAGTTCTTACCTGGTCAAGAACTATTCCCCCAGTAGTGCTGGGTTCCCCATTAATCAAAGTAAGCACAGGACTGCTGGTGTTGACTTAGGAATGTGGGGTGAACAACCTCACACTCTCTTACCCCACCATGGCTTCTGCTTCAAGGTCTGGCTGCCATCTTTCTCCCAACTCTACAGTGCTTTCCTACAAACTCAAACTTGCCCTCTCTCCAACTTATAATCTCTGAAAAGGGACAGAGTACCCGGTCAGCCAGGCAAGCACGGCTTGAGCTGTATTTACCTGCTAACAAAGAGGTGAAAACTTGGTCCCTACACACAAATCAGTAAGCACGAGTCACCTGTGCTTACCTTGCTTACGGGGAGTTCTGCCTCTGCCCCTGGAGTTATTCTGGCCATCAGTGGAGGCAGATGACGGAGGATATGCTGGGAACTAATGGATAGGGACCAGGAATGCTGTCAAACATCACCTAGAACA